AAAATAGCATAAGAATTGCTTTCGCAATATTTTACGTACCACACTATTCACTACCCCTTTTTTTAAATAATAATAATAATAGTGATTTATTCTTAGAATTGTGAATTACAATTATCGAAACGTCAAGGGATATTATATAACAAACATTTTAGATATTTTTTTGAGTTGTTCTCTTTTGCAGATTGACAGGAAGCGCTCTTCTTGAGCTCGAAAAGGCCGCTGCGATCTGTAGTTCAAAAGGTAATTTTTTTTATTTTCGCCGACTCTTTAATATAACGTTTGATTACATACTGGTTTTTGATACAATCGAATTTGCATGAGATTCATTTAATGATTATAGTTCCGTTGTTTTCGGTAGAAGCCTGTTTTGTGATTAATTCTTTCTCTGACTACGACTTACTAAAAATTAATATTTAAATTTAAACATTGACATTCCAGAGTTATATATTACAGTGATTTAATTATTAAAAATAAATAAATAAAACAAATATAGCATGTGGAAAACCAAATTTTAAACCTGATGTTAGTTTTCTTTTATTGAAAGTGTATATGTATGAAATTTCATTTAAATCCCTCCATAAATAAGAAAGTTGGGACTGCGCATGCGCAAAACGAAATTTTGAAACTGGCGTTAAATTTGATTTTATTCCAAGTGGCTATGTATCAAATTTCATTTAAATTCCTTCATAAATAAGAAAGTTTGCAATTCGGTCTGTAAATGGTCGAGATGCGCAAAGGGCACTGTGAATGCTGATCGACTAGGCTCAACTTTTGGAATTGCATTTTATATGGCTAAAGCTATGCGCATATTTAATTTCATGCAATTCGGTTCATAACTAACGGTGATGTCAAAAGGGCCTACTTTAATTTTTGGTCTACATAGCCAATTCACGAACTCCGATCTACAAATTTGATAAAGAATCCATCTGCAAAATTTCATCATAATCGGTCCATTCGTTTATGAGTTATCGTGCTAACGGACGGACGGACGGACAGACACCGCAAAATTATAAACTCGCTAGGAGCTCTTTAATAAAAAGAAATATTCTTTCCGGAGATCCAGGTTTGGTTTTTTGTCGTCCAGTTTTAAGAGACCATCCCTTTGAGGTACTAAATTGTGCCATAGGGAAACCATCAATTCCAGAAAACGCTATAGTTTTTAAATAGGCATTGGCTTCGTTATCGCTGCGTAAAAGCCAATTAAGTTGTAAATACGTAGTTGTTTGTTTCGCCGTAAGTAAACACAGGTACCAGCGAAGACGCACGTACAGTAATTGGCTCGGAGAGCGGAAGGAAAGAACGTTTTAAAAAGGAAACGGTAACGTTAAATTGAGCTTTTTGGTCAAGCTTCTTGGTGTATTCTCTTGAATTACTGAAAAATATTTTCTAAAAGTTCTAAAAATGACCACCAGAGGGCGTAACTCTCATCTTAAATTTTAAAATTGCATTTTCTTTAAATTTCGCCTAATAAACTAAACATTCTTTTTGCACATTTTTAAAGAGAACCAGTTTATCCATCATTTTCGTAAAAACAAAAACTAAGTTCTTTAAAAACAAAGATGGCGTGGAGCGTTCAATTGTTTTTGCAATAACCTGCTTTAACTGCTTAACCGTTTGACCGAAAAATTTTGTATCGTTGGGCAACAAGCAAAATATAGTTAATTTAGTTGAATCCTTCTCCGCCAGGGAGCTAGTTTTGACACTATGACCCAAAATCCTAAAAAAATCAAAAAAATCAAAAGGAAGCTTTCTTTATGAAAAAGTAACCCAATAATGTCCAAAGAGGCCAGTGAAAACCGTTTTTCAAAATCTCGTTCCTAACCTCAAATATTGGGAAACTGAGATTAATTAATTAATTAATAAAAATGCTTAAATTGTATCCTAAATTTACTTTTAACATATTTCCGTCGATTGCGCGAAAGAAAAGCACCTTACACTTCTAGGTAGGCCTTGGAAAATTAAACAAATGAAACAAGATGTATTATAAAATAATAACAGCCGTAATTTGTAAATTATTTTGCTGTGTTTACATTCAGAAAGTGCAGTTTTTTGAATTTGTAATCTTTTCTAAATGCCGATTTCTAACCAAGCACGATTTAATATGCTGGCGGCGATGGTTCGTGGTCGATTCGGATAACGCAAATAGAAGATGTGGTCAGCGATGGTCGCATTTTGAAAATACTCAAAATATATCGCCAGTATATTAAATGCTTCTTGGTTAAATACTCAAAATATATCGCCAGTATATTAAATGCTTCTTGGTTAAATCGGCATTTCAGAAAAGATTACAAATTCAAAAAACTGCACTTTCTGAATGTAAACACAGCAGAATAATTTACAAATTACGGCTGTTATTATTTTATAATTAATCGTGTTTCATTTGTTTAATTTTACAAGGCCTACCTAGAAGTGTAGGGTGCTTTTCTTTCGCGCCATCGACGGAAATATGTTAAAAGTAAATTTAAGATACAATTTAAGCATTTTTAATTAATTAATTAATCTCATTTTCCCAATATTTGAGGTTAGGAACCAGATTTTGAAAACTTCACTGACCTCTTTATAAAGAAAAAGTTATATTATTCCATTGGATTTTTTTTTATTTTTTTAGGATTTTGGGTCAAAACTAGTCCCCTGGCGGAGAAGGATTCAACTAAATTAACTATATTTTGGCTGATTCTCATTGCCCAAGGAATGTTTTTTCAACCATACCAAATTTGTTAAAATCGGATGGCAGTTACGCCCTCTGGTGGTCATTTTTAGAACTTGAAAATATTTTCCAGCTATTCTTCATAACCGATTTACCCAATAATTTTTTTACCCCTAAGTCATACGACGAACGGTTCCCGAGATATGGCCGAAGAACAGTCTTATTGGGTCACCCGGTACATACACTAGCAATCAAAACTTTCACGTAATATACCAGAGGCTTGCATCGCATAGCGCTAGACCCTCTCAACGTTACGGTGAAATGGCGCCCCTACGGCACTGCAATCGTGATTTACCACATACTTACGGTTGGCAACAGACATTTTACGGCACTTTTGAATCTTGGACGCAGCTGGCTAGGAGCGGTTACGAATGTGTTCTTCGTTGTGTATACTGACAGACCTTTTATATGTTGGGAGGAGGGAGTATATTGAGTATATTGAATAAAATCCAGAATTTTGTGCGTAAGAAAAGATAAGTACAAATAAATTTATTACGCACACAAGGCGATATCAGGAAAACCTTTTATGGGCAAAAAACCTGGCACAACCTACACAAATACAATAAGAAATCAACTACAGCAAAATGCAAATATAAATCGTACAATAAAAACCAGGTGTCGAGCCACTCAACAAGAGAAACAAGAGTCCTCATAAATGTAAGTAGAAAACACCATAAATTAAATCAAGTACAAAACACATCTACGGTTCAATTTAGATGGTTGATTCTCATTGCCCAAGGAATGCTCTTTTCAACGACACCAAATTTGTTACAATCGGTCAAACGGTTAAGAAGTTAAAGCAGGTTGTTGCAAAAACAATTGAACGCCCCACGCCATCTTTGTTTTTGAAATAACAGAGTTTTGCTTTTTATGAAAATGATAGATAAACTGGTTCTCTTTAAAAATGTGAAAAAAATGTTTACTTTATTATGCGAAATTTAAAGAAAATGCAATTTTAAAATTTAAGATGGCAGTTAGTTACGCCCTCTGTTGGTCAATTTTAGAACTTGAAAACATTTTCCAGCGATTCTTCATCACCGATTTACCCAATAATTTTTTTACCCCTAAGTCATATGACGAACGGTTCTCGAGATATGGCCGAGGAAATCTTATTGGGTCACCCCGTACGAGCAATCCGTGGTCGACTCAAAATTTTGATTTTGGTTAGTTAACGTAAATGGAATTATTGATTCTTATCCCGAATGTCAGACGTTTTTCGCAATATTTTATGTGGCGCACTATTCACTAAACCGCGTTGTTGTTTGTTGATCACATCAAGCACTCTTCTTAAGTTCGAAAAGGCTGCTACGACCTGTAACATTTTTTAAATTTTCGGCGAGTCCTTGATATAACGTTTGATTACATACTGGTTTTCGATACAATCGAATTGTCATTACAACTTTTGCTCGAGATTCATTTAACGATTATAGTTCCGTTGTCTTCTGCGGTTATCTTAGTATTTTCTACAGTTTTATGATTTACATTTCCATGTGGATTTTTTTGTATTGCAAACTCATAGAAAAATTCGCAGGGAATTCAGAGTGAGTGCGACACCCAGCAGTTTTTTTAATGTAAGCCAACAACAATTTACTGTAAGTATCATTGTTAGATTAGGGTATTTTTTAATCATAGCATTTGAATTCGAAATCAATATCGTTTGGTATCAGAATAATTAGATGTTAAAATTTGTTTACATAATCGCCTTGTATTTTGTTTACCTTATTGTTCAGAAATTACGTATCAAAAGGTTAGAGACGTCTAAAAATAAATGCGTTGTATTATTGTAAAACTTTATCCCCGGTCATTGCGATAAGAAGTTCGTTATCGCTGCGTAAAAGCCAATTAAGTTGTGAATACGCGGAAATGATCAGCTGATTAAATGATCACCTTCACTCATCCCCAAATCTTCGTGCCAATTTTTCAAAACTCTTCCTTTGCAATAACTGAAACTCTTCGATCTGCCAACGCCATCTTTTCTTTATTGGCTCCTATCTTCCCTGGTCAAAAATTGCGTGTTTAAGTTTTAGATCGCCAATTTTCAACATTCAAACTGCTAGCAAAATAACAAAAACCTTGCCTCGTCATTGTTTTCATGACTAAGTAGATTAAATTCATTAAAATCTCTAAAAACGCTGGACCCAATAACGTTCATCGTGATTTTTTCAGGTCACTATTTTAGGACCATTATTTTAATTTAAAGAAATTGTGCCTTAAACCTAGACTACCCTTAATATTGTGCAAGTAATTCCATTAGAGTGAGCATCTTCAAAAAGAAATTATTAAGGGAGCTTACCTTGCAACTTGTCACAAAATTACGGTTAAAGTGTTCTGACAAAAAACTCACTCAAGGTTTCTGTCACAATCGATACTCCTGAATTATTTCACAAATCAATAGCAACTCATCCGAAGGAAACAGCGCGATGAGAGGCACACAACTGATCTCGCACAAAATTCTGTCTAATACTTTGCCGAAACCAAGGTGAATGTTTAAATTTTTTCAATATCACAAAACTTTGCATAACTGGCGCATTTTTCGTTTAAATATCTATAATTAAAATAAATAATTGGTTAGCATAAACAAGTTTGCGGTCGACTACTAATGCTAATCGAGAGACTTTGGAAACGGAGTACGCAGACCTCTAGAATTTGGACGTAAGCGAAGTTCTTTTTTTTAATTGCGGGCTGGTGTTAATTGTGACATCGTGTGCAAGGTGCACTTCGCGTGAGATCGAGGTAAATTTGTGCGTAGATGAAGGTCACGTCATGAGTTAATTGAAGAACGTGTCACCACCTGTGAAGTTATTAGAATAAATTACATTTGAGATCACTGACTGAAGGCTCCTTTCAGAATGTGCGATTCCCCTGCACTTGGTGTGAAAATTGGGTACCAGACTCAAGAGTCATTTCCACACGCGAAAATATTTGGGAAATTTTCAATAGCTCATCATGCAATACATAATATGCGGGTTATGTTCATCAAAAGCTTGCGAGCAAATTGGATCGAATTGATCTAAGTACACTACAGGACAGTAAAGTACAAGACGCGCCAAAAATGCGTAATTTCGGTAACATTGCCGAATTAATGTTCATATATCTAAGGACGTTTTCTAAAGAGCACGTTTCGTAGCGATCGTAACTAATGTTAATGAGATAAAATGCTTTCGATGCGGATACAAGGGTCATAGACAACGCTACTGCCGACAACCGAAATATGTCAAAAAAACGAGATGGGCGTTTGAAGCTGATGAGACAACTGAAATCCACAATAAGTTACATTTCGTATTCGTATTGGCGCGTCACTATAATCTCAATTATATGATGGGTGTCATTTGTTTTTGAATACTTGTCTGGCGACTGTCAGCGATTATCCGGTGGATTTTACTCATGTGAAGTTGGCCCCACCCACATGAAATAATTTGACAAAAATGTGTCGACAGTAATTAGTGCTACGTATTAGTGCTCGAAGCTTATCGTTAGTGCTGCTATATAAAAAAAAAACAAGTATAAATTGTGCACAACTCTTGTGCAGATAAGCGCATTTTTTTAACGAAATAACTTTTGTTTTGACATCACCAATGGATATATTTCTAGCAGACGTATCAATCGCCCTTTGTGAGTACTTTCTTCCGACAATCCGTTCTTGAGGTATAAGGGAATATACCCGAACACGATAAGAGGTCGCGGAGGAGAGCTATGGTTGGTAGAAATTAATTCCTTTCGTTGAGACCTTTCATTAGACTACCATGAAAGATAAAACTAGTTCTACTCTCCTTCCCGTCCCTCTCCACCCCTTACTTTGATAAGACGACAGAAAGGACAGTAGTTTGTAGAAAACGGTTCCTTTCGTTGAGATCTTTAATTAGAATACAATGAAAGATAAAATTAGTCCCCCCCCCCCCGGACTGGTTTGAAAAAAAAATACACAATCAGCAGCGTCGTCACATAATTCTGGGTTGTAAAATTATACTTTATGAACAATTTATACGTACATAGTAATCCATGGCAGATAATTATTGCTGCGGTCATGTTACGTCATGATAAATTTAATTGTAAAACTGGATCTTGCTTGTAATGCTCCTACGGGTCCATCAAACCGACCCTGAAAACGTTACCTATACCTATACTCTGGCAAAAAAATCTACAAGCATAGCCACCTACCTTTCAAGCCGAAACGATGGACGTTTCGCGGCACTTTTGAATTTGGATGGTAGTCGGCTCGATAGGGATGGCACGAATGAACTCCTACGTTGTGTAATCGGTTCTTTTATGTGTTGGGACGTGAGACATAATCGGGAAGGGAATTAAATAAAAGACAGAACTTTTGTGCGTAAGAAATGACAAGAACAAATAAATATATTACGCACACAACAAGACCATGCCAGGGAAACCTTCTACGGGACAAAAACCCTGGCATAGGCCGCACAAATACATTAAATAAATCACCTACAGCAATAAAATGCAAGAGAAAATACACATAAATAAAACATCTCAAATTGTATGATAAAAATGAGATAATCAAATCATGCAATTAAACAAGTTCATAAAAACAAAATGCACAAGACACTTAGACCATATAGTACATGGACTGCTATTACCCCTATGCTTTCAATACAAAATGGGTGGTCACGGATAGAGGGCACTGTAGTCGTGGGTATGTGAATCTCAGGGTAAAATAAAGTCGTATGAACACCACTTGGATTGCGTAAAGAGTAGCTTTTATGGTAACCGCGTAGTACGGGAAGCTTTAAATACTCTTGATTGTCTTCTGTACGTCCACAAATAAGAACAGGTTTGCTGTTTTTGCCATATCTAGACGATTAATTAATTGACATTTGTTAATTTATAGGTTGACAGTCTCAAATCGTGTCCCATCGGACAATTTCGGACAGACTCGTTTACCCTGAAACTCACATACCCAGGCGATGTCCTTGACCATATTTTAGTTACAATTAGCAGTCCATGTACTATATGGTCTAAGACAAGACATCATAAATGCAGTGGAAAACATGATAAATCAATTCAGTGCAAAAAAACATCAAAATACCTGTACGATTAATTGAGATAAGACAACTCGTCAAATAATAAATTGCATGTACATAGGAAACATGTAAATGGTGTGGCTCTACTCCAGCCTCCAGTTAACATAATTTTATTTAACACGAAAAGTACATGTGAGAATGCCAATAGCAAGTATTCATGTCGAATCGATTATCGCTCAAATAGAACATATTTTAAATAGTGGAAATGTGAATGAGAGGGCCCCTACTCGCATTGCTAAGATGCTAAGAATGGCAATCCGCACGAGACGAGTAGGCGACAGATACAGCGAACGGTCGAACTGTATTAGGTACCTACTCCATGAAGACAGAATGAACCACTCGCACACACAACATGGAAACATCTAAGAGAGCCCCCCTTCGTATAGCTAACGCACAAGCACTGCAGCGCGCCACGAATCAGAAAGTAACAGATACAGCGAACAATCAAACTGTACTAGGTACTTCCCTCACGGAATAGTTACGGGTCAATCGAACAGAGCAACATCGCACTGATAATTAACTCCTCGTGAATACAGAAATAAATACTTAATTAAACAAAATAATGGCATAATCACCTGTATAGTTTAACAAACACGATTGTACTCAAAAACAATAGTATGGAGTACGCCATATTTAGATATCGCAGTTTATGCAAAATCAGAAAAATGTTAATAATATCAAATTGTGACAAGAAATTCAATGATTAAGAGTAAGTACATACAAGAAAGAATAAAATGGTTACTACCTGTAATTACACCTTCAAAACACCACAAACTAAAAAATCAAGAAGAAAACCGGGAACGTGTGATGCCTTCCGTCGACCCCGTCGCCATCTTCTTCATTCTCCCCTGGCTTCGTTACGAAAATCCCCCAATATTCGGCATCTGCGCAAAACGGTCGATTGGTTATATACAGAGCATATCATATTTTTGTTTTAGATGTAAAGGTGTGTTGCCTAACCGTAAGGGTGGATTATCACATGCTCAAAATAAACCGTATAAATTATTAGAACAAATTTAACATTGGTTGGCCCCGCCCAAGTGGGAAGTTATTTCCTGGAGGGAGGACTGGCCTTCACAAATTCTAACTGAAATTATACATACTCGATCTAAATACAGGGTGTCACCATAACAGTGTACAGCAAAAATTTAAATTCGAATTAATTCAAAATAATTCAGGTACATTCAGATTAATTCACTTTAATTCAACATAATTACGTAAATTCATGTTAATTCGCGTTAATTCAAGTTAATTCACGCTAATTGAAATTAATTCACTTTAACTCAAATTGACTTCAAATTATTTCACACTAATTCAAATTAATTCACTTCAACTCAAATTGATTCACATTAATTCAAATTATTTCACGCTAATTGAAATTATTTTACTTTAACTCAAATTTAATCACGTTAATTCAAATTATTTCACGTTAATTCAAATTAATTCACGCTAATTCAAATTAATTCGTGTTAACTCAAATTGATTCACATTAATTTAAATTATTTCACGTTAATTCAGATTAATTCACGTGAAGTCACATTAATTCTCGTTAGTACTAATTAATTCACGCTAATTCAAATTAATCCAGTTTAAGTGAAATTGATTCACATTAATTCAAATCATTTCACGTTATTTCAAAATAATTCACGCTAATTGAAATTAATTTACTTTAACTCAAATTGATGCACATTCATTCAAATTATTTCACGTTAATTCAAGTTAGTTCACATTAATTCTCCTTTGTTCTAATTAATTCAGGTAAATTCAAATTGATTCACGCTAATTCAAATTAATTCGTGTTAACTCAAATTGATTCACATTAATTTAAATTATTTCACGTTAATTCAGATTAATTCACGTGAAGTCACATTAATTCTCGTTAGTACTAATTAATTCACGCTAATTCAAATTAATCCAGTTTAAGTGAAATTGATTCACATTAATTCAAATCATTTCACGTTATTTCAAAATAATTCACGCTAATTGAAATTAATTTACTTTAACTCAAATTGATGCACATTCATTCAAATTATTTCACGTTAATTCAAGTTAGTTCACATTAATTCTCCTTTGTTCTAATTAATTCAGGTAAATTCAAATTGATTCACGCTAATTCAAATTAATTCGTGTTAACTCAAATTGATTCACATTAATTTAAATTATTTCACGTTAATTCAGATTAATTCACGTGAAGTCACATTAATTCTCGTTAGTTCTAATTAATTCACGCTAATTCAAATGAATTCAGTTTAAGTGAAATTGATTCACATTAATTCAAATTATTTCACCTTAATTCAAATTAATTCATGTTAATTCAAATTAATTCACGTTAATTCAAAATAATTCACGTAAATTCAAGTTAATTCAACCGTACCGACACTGTATATAAACTACACAGTAGGGAAAATGCGCATTTAGGTGGAATGGGGTCTAATACATATACGTAAAACTTTATTTTTCAGGGCGTTTTTCTTGTAGGTTGTACAGTGACTTTATAGAGACAGTGGCGATAACAGGGTATTTCGTTTTTGATTGGTCGTTGGTTCCGGTCGCCATATTGGAGCTAAATTCCAAACTGGTCAATAGAAAGCCTCCAAAACGACGCGGTACACCCCGTGCTATAATTAAATTATACTGTTTTGACAGTATCACCTGTGATTGTCACGGCTTCACGTTAATAGTTTACACTTTGCTTCTTGTATTTGCCTTATTTTACGTTTTCCGGCTCCAGTTTTATATAAACTCGATTTTTAAAGACGCTTATAGCTTGGATTTACGATATTATAAGGCATGTAATCCGCTTAAAATGTTTTTAGATGTAAAACTGCGCCCAACCTTACTACTGGTAATTGATGTAAACATTTTTTTAGAATCCCTAAATATCTAATGAGTTTGGATAGAAAACTGGTTAGAGAAGCAGCTTATCCGAAATTTAGCTGTAAATTCTATTATGGTTATGGATAACGCAATTGTGATCATAAATACGCTTCAATTGGTTTAATGTTTAACATTGATGATTGCTGAAGCACAAGAAATATTCATCTAAAAATTGCATGGTTGCCAACTCTCAAAAATGTATGTATCGTCGTAAGTTGTATATACAGGGTGGAACCTTTCAAGGTTGTAACAGTTTAGTTTATTTATATTCAAATTTCAAAATTACCGCTTGCTACGTTAGGCAGGATATAGGTGAGATGGCGTCACTTGTACGCGTGCTTCTTTCCTCGCGCAGAATCGCGTAATTTTTTCACTTCATTTCCGTTTTAAAGCCAACGAGGTTGTACTTGTAGAGCGTGGCATTGTGAATTCTTCTAAAACCAGTGGGTAATATTTGCCATCATTCACGTAAAATCTCTGGCAATTTTACCTGTTTATTGGCGTTGTCGAGTAGAGTAACTCAGAAGCCGTTTTCTCCGTTGTGAGGCTATATCTGGTGGAAGTTCATCGCCCTACCTACATATTCACAACCTCTTGGATAATTTCCATATTTCATTGATTTAAGTATTTTTCATTACCCTCCTGACGATTTCAGGTATGTTATTAAAAATCTCGTTAAGGGAGTTGTACATCTTCATTACTTTTAGGGGGTCCATGTAGTAGATGAATTCTTGTACCGATCAATCCATGTAGTAGATGAATTCTTGTACCGATCAATCCATGTAGTAGACGAATTCTTGTACCGGTCAATCCATGTAGTAGGTCAATCCTTGTACAGACGAATCCTTGTAGGTAAATGAATTTGCATCTTGCGAATATTCCGGAGTACGAACACCTGTTGATTGCCGGCAGCTATCCGGCGTACCACCGAGTAGATAAGCGCTAACACCTAAACGATACCGGGAGCGACCAGCTGATGGTGGAATTTTCGGAAGATACGATCTTTTACACAACCTTTTTTTTATTTGCTTCAATACCGTTAATCTAGTGTAACCTTCCGACGATTTATGATCGGAGCTTTGTATTTTGTTCGCATCAAGTGTTTGAGGTCGTGACTCTCTTCAAGAGCAACGCACCTGTATTTAACGTATGGGTAAACGAGCCGGCTACGAGTAAGCTATTTTTGGCCCTTCCGGCTCATATAATCGTTCCGAGCGTTGTAGCTTGGGGTTTGTTTTTGTGTTACAGAACTGGAACTTCGAAGGAGAGCTCTTTTTCGGAGAAGACAGCGTATGTGTTATTCAAGGTAAGATTTTTAATTTACTTGTACCCAGTGTTGCCTATATGAGTTGTTATTCGGGTTAACTTAATTCAATCTTTGAATCATTGAAATTTTAACTACATTTTTGCTCGATCATTGTTGTAGGGGTCTGGTAACGTAATTATTAGGGAAGTGTTCATGAATTTATTTGGGGATTATTTTTGTCATTTAAAGTATTTGTTATTGTCGTATTGAAGATACATTTTATTTGCCGATCCTGCACCGTTTTTGCCAGGATTAATAAATCAGAATTGCTCGTAGTGAATTTATTATTTGGCTCTCTTGTGTTTTCCCAATTTCTATACAGGAGAGGTCAGAATTTGTGCAAAATTGGGTGGCGCTCAACTAATCATTTCTAGTGACTACCAAAGATCAAAAACTTATGTTATATGCCCAAACGAACAAACCGCTGTGGAAGATTCTCATCTCGAGCCCTTCTTTTAATTAAGAATCTGAGCTAGCTGGCCGTTTATGCGGCGGGGTTTGAGTTTTACAGCGCCGAACTAACCTCACGTTATAAGGTCAAGCGGGAGACGCGGAAAAGTAAAGCTGTTGTGTAACAGAGCCCGACAAAGTAATCTCGAAGGATCTCAATAAAAAACGTTTGAAGGTTCTTGCGAGGTTTACTGGGTTAGGCAACATTTTTGAAGAGAGGAGACACATCCATTTAAAAAACTCACTAAATCGCTTCCTACCACATCAGACGAAATGGTTCTTATTCACATGCCCTGTCAGTTCTGAAATCGGTTTGGTGTCAACCATACCCAGTAGCCCTGAAGACTTACTCCTTTTAGTTTGCCTCGAAAACCCCAACAAAACTTCGCCCTTGTACCGGGTGGCCCAATAAGACTGTTCCTCGGCCATATCTCGAGAACCGTTCGTCATGACTTAGGGGTAAAAAAAATTATTGGGTAAATCGGTCATGAAGATTCGCTGGAAAATATTTTCAAGTTCTAAAAATGACCAACAGAAGGCGTAACTGCCATATTAAATTTTAAAATTGCATTTTCTTTCAATTTCGCATAATGAACTAAAAAAATTTTTTTTACAGTTTTAAAGAGAATCAGTTATCTATCTATCATTTTCGTAAAAACAAAAACTCATTTATTTCAAAAACAAATATGGTGTGGAGCGTTCAATGGTTTTTGCAATAACCTGCTTTAACCTCTTAACTGTTTGACCGACTTTAACAAATTTGGTATGGTTGAAAAGAGCATTCCTTGGGCAATGTGAATCAACCAAAATATAGTTAATTTAGTTGAATCCTTCTCCGCCAGGGGACTAGTTTTGACACATGACCCAAAATCCTAAAAAAATCAAAAAAATCAAATGAAATGATATAACTTTTTATTTATGAAAAAGTAGCCAAATAACATCCAAGGAGGCCAGTGAAAACCGTTTTTCAAAATCTCGTTCCTATAACCTCAAATATTGGGAAAATGAGATTAATTGATTAATAGAAATGTATCTTAAATTTACTTTTTACGTATTTCCGGGATTTGTCGATGGCGCGAAAGAAAAGCACCCTACACTTTTAGGTAGGCCTTGGAAAATTAAACAAATGAAACACGATGCATTATAAAGTAATAGCAGCCGTAATTTGTAAATGATTCTGCTGTGTTTACATTCAGAAAGTGCGGTTTTTTGAATTTGTAATCTTTTCTAAAATGCCGATTTAACCAAGAAGCTGGCGATATATTTTGAGTATTTTCAAAATGCGACCATCGCTGCCCACAGCTTCTATTTGGGTTATCAGAACCGACCACGAACCACCGCCGCCAGCATATTAAATGCTTGTTGGCTAGAAATCGAAATTTTAGAAAAGATTACAAATTCAAAAAACTGCACTTTCTGAATGTAAACACAGCAGAATCATTTACAAATTACGGCTATTATTATTTTATAATGCATCGTGTTTCATTTGTTTAATTTTCCAAAAGTCTAGGGTCCTTTTCCAAACAATCTTTCGCGCCATCGACAAATACCGAAAATACGTCAAATAAGATACAATTTAAGCATTTTTATTAATTAATTAATTAATCTCATTTTCCCTATATTTGAGGTTAGGAACGAGATTTTGAAAAATGGTTTTCACTGGCCTCTTTGGATGTTATTTGGCTACTTTTTCATAAAGAAAAACTCATATCATTCCATTTAATTTTTTTAGGATTTTGGAATTTGGATCATTGTGTCCACCCCTGGTGGAGAAGGATTCAACTAAATTGACTATACTTTGTTGCCCAAGGAATGCTCTTTTCAACGATACCAAATCTGTTAAAATCGGTCAAACGGTTAAGAAGTTAAAGCAGGTTATTGCAAAAACATTTGACCGCCCCACACCGTCGTTGTTTTTGAAATAAGTGAGTTTTTATTTTTACGAAAATGATAGATAAACTGGTTCTCTTTAAAAAGTGAAAAAAGAATGTTTAGTTTATTATGGGAAATTTAAAGAAAATGGAATCTTAAAATTTAAGATGACAGTTACGCCCTCTGGTGGTCATTTTTAGAACTTGCAAATATTTCCAGCGATTCTTCATGACCGATTTACCCAATAATTTTTTTACCCCTAATAAGTCATACGACGAATGGTTCCCGAGAAATGGCCGAGGAACAGTCTTATTGGGTCGCCCGGTACAATTTGAATTATGAAGAATTGCCAGAATATGTCCAGTGGCGTATCTGTTGCGTTTTTCTTTGACAAAATTGCAGATTGCCCTGCACTGGATTTATTGGCAGTTAGATTCCGCACAAAACTTTTAATATAAAGGAGGGACATTCATTTCTAAACTGACGTTTATTCCTATGGTATCAATCGAGATATTTAAAGAAATAAGGGAAAATTACTTAGAGCGTAGACTATTTGAGCGATTAGTGGAAACTTATGCAATTCTACGTTTTGTTCCTAAGTGGGTAAAATGGCAATGCGTCACAGAAGAACCTTTTGGTCTTTGCCTAACTCAGGAGCAAATAGTCCATCAAAAAAGTTGCGACACAATTTTTTGTAGGCCAGTAGCTCAAGAAGATAAAGGCGACACTTGAAGATGACGAAAGAAAAATCAAGTGAAGTGCGCTCTATCCGTGGAGAAAACCCCAAAAACTGTGCCAGTTTGGGACAACCATATAAGAGTGGCGGCGAGGTGGAGCGCCTGATCATACCTGAAAATGCTGCGCCTCGTCTTGGTCATCGCCATCGGTAAGTTAGACGCGTAAATTGGTGGCCGTTTTGTTATTTGTGCTGAAATTTAGCCAAAGCTGCCGTCTTGCCGGATTCGGATGGAAGGATCGTCGGCGGATACGATACGACTATTGAAGCCAGGCCGTATCAGCTTTCCTTGCAGAATTATGGCACCCACTCGTGCGGAGCCTCCATTATTAAGGCGACTAAGGCCGTAACAGCCGCGCATTGCACAAACGGGTATGTTTATCGTGAGTTAACAAGTGGAGGCGCTTGATTGGAGTTTTTAGGCAATACGCCCAAGCCTTCAGTGTGCGGGCAGGCACTAGCTATAGAGGTTACGGTGGCCAGGTGATACCGGTGCAGTCGGTGTGCGAGCATAGCAATTACAACCCGACGCTGATCGACAATGACGTTGCGGTGCTGTCGTTGTCGTACCCAATAGAATTCAACGCGAGAGCCCAGCCGATTCCGCTCCAGCCGCTTTACCAAGAGGTTCCGGTGGGCGCGTACGGGATCGTGACCGGGTGGGGAGCAATGTACGAAGGAGGCACCTCGTCGAATAGCCTCAAGGAGGTGAAGCTCATCCATCTCAGCGACGCCACGTGTACGAGTGCGTACGGTGCGCGTAAGTTTACATCGCACATGATCTGCTTTGGTTATCCCCAGGGCGGGCGAGATTCTTGTCAGGTAATCTCTTAGTCGGTAGCGTTTAGAGCAGGTCGTGTAATGATAGTGAATTTAGGGCGATTCTGGAGGTCCTCTGGCGTACAACAATGCTCTAAGTGGAATAGTATCGTGGGGCTACGGATGCGCGAGACCTCGACTTCCTGGAGTTTACACAAAGATTTCTGACGTGTCTATACGGTCACATATTGATAGATGCATGGCTTAGTAGTAAATAAATCATTTTTCTGCATTTTTTGTTCATTGTTTTATTAAGCAGCAACAATATTCAAATGATAATATAAAAGTAGAGATATGCTTGTAATGATCTTAGCCTCCTACTATCTTGGCGGGCTAATGCCAACTTCAAGTCACACCGGAATATTTGACCATATTCTGTAGTAGCGGGAATGCCAAACTAACATGGCTGCCTATTTGAATATTCTCGCTTAAGTTTCCCGCGAGCGCGAGAATCTGTCACTCGGGGGCCACTCCCAGTGCACTAAGATCGTGATCGTCATGTAGGACACCTACGTTGTGTAATAACTGGGTTCTCAGCAGGCACTGAGGGCGTTTTATGGGTAAGGGACACCAAACGCAATAGCTGGTTAAGATTATATTGAAGCTAATACCAATACCAATACGGCGCCCCTACAGATGGTCTTAAGTGGTTCTATACTACTCTAGCATTTACCTTATGAATTAGGAAAACTGCAGGAAAACCTAATTCGGAGTAGTCCTATAATAAACAAAGCCTACAGCTAACATACAATGTACCGCACTTTTGAGCCCTTTCGAAACCGGGGTAAATACTACAAACACGTTATGAGTAACCAAAATGGAATCGAGCCATTCCCCAGGTATTACAACACATACATCAGATAAAACTAAGAGATATTAAATATACCTCGCAGAGCGGGAGGATTACCCAGGCCCAGTGGGGTGCCTGTAGACGTGGGCTAAAGTTGTTGTGTTTCGGAACGAGTGAAAATGTTACTGTTAGGTTCACCAAAACCCGTATAAACTTGAATAAATCGATGCCCTCTTGATTACTCACAGTCCCAAATAAGCAAATATGATGAAATGCAATGAAATTATCGAGAGTGACTAAAAAGCACAATACACAAATATGTACCCATGCAAGTATGTACAGCACAGATACAGCCCTACCGACAATGAAACATGATTGCCAATACCAACAAAGCTTACACATTAAGAGGTACAAGTGATTGAGTTCAGTAAGTACATAAGTAAAGGGTTACAATCTGCATTCAAGTTACATACATTTGTACTGATCTTAACCCACCCCAGGCTCGAAGTTAAGATGACAGATTTCACGGCAAAGTGGCAACGTTGCAATCCCAGTATCAAAACACGGTTCCCGCTCAAATTTCAAACAAAAGAATGGCACGTGATTGGATCGTCTAAGGTAGAGCCCCCTTACGTTACACGAAGCTAATACAATGACTCGGGACCCAGTCGGACAGGAACACTCAAATAAAACGCTGTAATGTCTGCGAGTTTATTTATTATAAACTTATTCTGAAAACCCGGGAATTTGGATGTGGTACATTAAAAGCAAAGCAAGCAAAACCTAGAGGTGCCGCACTCTCGCAAAAGCCGACTACCAAGGAGAAAAAGAGCGCGACTTGAGAAAAAACCTTGGCCTTGAATGAAACCCAAACTATGCTAATCACAAGCAAATTAAGACATCAACCACCCAAGCAGAACATGTAACACTGCATTAATTAATCAATGAATTCAAGTAGCAGGGTACGTTTGAACAGTATGCGTAGAGTATTCGTCACAACATGTCATGTACTTCCCTTTAATCGCGGCTAGAAGGCAACTCACTTTTTAGTTAGTCATTGGGTGGTGAACCTGGTTATTCGTTAGGTTTGGGCCAGCGTCTTCGCTTGATCATTATATACCGAATAGAGTGGTGTGAAGTTCGTAAAAACATGTCTGATCTATTCGTTGTGACGTAACAATAGGCAGTTATGACAATACACAGTGTGCTCGTGGAGCCCTCAATTATGCTCAGTTTCCACATAATGACATTGGTATTGAGATGTCTGCTTTCAAATTTCAAACAAGAAGTTCCGTTACCGTATATTGAGACACAGTTCAAGCTACCGTTGCCAGATACCGAGCCACAATTCAATAGCATTCCCATGAAAAACAATAGGTTCATTATTCAACAATGTATTCATTCTTCGATGTCAGCAATTATATGAATAGTAGTCTGTATAGGGAGGAAATAGAGGATAGATTTAGTTTTTGCCGAGTTAGCTTTTTAGGGTTCACACAGGTTCATTTTTGTCTTTGAGTTCACTTTGCTTTGGGTGATCAAGGGTGCTGCTCCGTATAACAGAAAGGTAATGTACTTAGTTGTAATGGATTTATATTGTAGTTTATGTTGCCTTCAGCTATTTGTGATGCAGGGTAAAGTGATTCTTGAATTTGGTGTAATTTGCTTTCAATGTAAAAGTGGTTCCTATTTTTATTTGTTGAAGTTGGCCAGCTATCAATTTTCATTTGTTTGTTTTGAACCCATTTGGATTGATTAGCGACTTCAATTCTTTGTGTACGAATCAGCCTTTTTTGAGTGTAATTAACCTTTTCGCCCTTGCAGAGGTATATGCCGGAGTGATAAAGATACTTAGCGGCATGTATCTCGAACGACAACTTTAGTCTAAGGTTACCGTATCAAGGATCTTAGATACCTGCTAGATTGGAGGAGGTCTGGCTAATTAACGATGTTTATTTTATGCACTTTATGTAAGAGACTTCGGAATGTATTCTTTCACACATGAGAAAAGATTGAAGGTGCTTTTTAAATCTACTTGTGATGGCCAGCCTTTAACTTATCAAGTTTGTGTTGTATTAACGTCAGATTTCCATCGATCGGTCCAATTCAAGAGTTACTTGGATTATTCTTTGTATAACACTATTGTAGCTGTGTTGTAAAATGTGTTTAGCGTTATCCAATGTTACCTCTCATTCTCCAGATTTTCCCTCTAGATTTCACCTCTGTGAACAGTGAGTCGGAATTTTCTTTAGCACGGTTCTTTTGTCCGACGAGTTCTAGGGGAACCTGGCACTTTTTGGCTTTAAATGTATTCTGTCTAAATTTGTAGGATGTCTTTCGGTCTTTTGATTCATTTTTACATTTTTGATCAGTTCTTTAATAAACTTTATTTGTGTTTCAAATTCAATTAAGTGTATTATTTGCGTTCCGCCTTTCCGATAATTAGTATGGGTACGAGTGAGTGCAACCTGGCTTTCCACAACGTAGGGGTTCCGGCCATTGTCGAGTGTGAGGTTTGTGTTACTACACCGGTGTTCTGAGTTCGTGTTTTTCCCGCTTTCGTTAGCGCGGGAGCTGTCGACATGGGTACATCACAGTATAAACCCCAGACTTCCGGAACTACTACCTGTGCTTCGTAACACTCCCCTGACATCGGTCACGTAACGACACAAAACTGAAGATGGTTAAGAGATGGGTCGCCGCCAATGGGCAGGACGGCCTTGGTTACAGCACTTCGTCCCTAAAGTTGGAGGGTCCAGGGCCCTTGGATCCTTTTGTGCCTTAGCTCTAGAGTACCTTTCTATTCTAGCGTCCGAGCTCCCTCTCACGGTAGGAAGATATGAGTTGTATTATATTATGTACTTTTAGTTAATGTTTTGTGCGCCTGAGGAATGGCAACCTTTCAGAGCACGCCAAGCACGTGTGAGAAGGTGGCGCCCTCAAAGGAATAAGCATATACGGATGTAGCGTCATGGAGGATGGTTTTGTGTTTTGTATTTAATATACGTATTGTTCAAACCAAGGCTTTTTTATTGATTCTCTATCAACTAAAACATGAGTTTCATACAACAAAGCATACACATTCGCGATGTTACGAGTCACCCTAACCTAAATACACCGGCCTAGCATTGCATGCCCTATTTCACGGAAGTCGAGGTTCTACATAGGTACACATCCGTGCAACGTGTAACAAACAGTTTTTTGTAAATAAAGCAAATTCCCCTATGTATCCTTTAAATTCACCACGTCAAAGAATTATAAGAATATTGACAAATGAACGTCAAAGATTTTACTTGCGATTTCGACTGCAGAGCGAGAGCAGAAGGGCTAGGTATTTGAACAAAAAAACATGTGTTGGCAACACAGAGATATAGCGTAAGACGAGACACAACCACAGCTGACAGGAACAGCCAAGAAGGCGGTATTCTGTGGGGGACAATGGCGACGGGAGTCTCCAGTGATATGTTTAACTTTTACCTGTTGCTATTTTAAAGATTGAACAAAAGGTCCAACGAATGTGTTTGTGTTATTCATGTTCATTTTGTTTTATGTTTACACTTCAGAAGTGGGATTGTGAATCCTGACGCCGGTATAACCTGTTACTTATGACTCCGCGTGGTATTTTTTCCGGTCTCGCGCGTGACATTAACGTTTTAAGATTTTTTCGACTGTTAAAAGGAAAGAAAATCGGGCATTCAGCTTCACATCAAACCAGCGAAGCTAGTCAGCATAGGGACAGAAAATGCCGAACATTTCAGAAGGCAGTTTAGAGGGGTGCGAAATGGATAAGGAACCTAGCCCACCAGGTATGTCAAATTCTGATATATTTTGCATGCAAAGAATGATGGATATGTTCATAAACGAAAATCGTCGACGTGACGAATTGTTCGTCCAAATTATTGAACGTTTTACACCGCAAAATGCAGACTCAAATCAGGGACTACCGATCGCAAATACAGCTGCAAGTGTACATGTAATTCCGGATATATCAAGAGTTATCAGCTCCTTTGATGGTGACCGCGATATCCCCAATGCAGAGCGATGGTTACTTGCAGTTGAGACAAGTGCTAAGTTAAACAACTGGCCAGATAATTACACTGTGGAGACGGCGCGAGCACATTTAAAGGGGGCTGCAATTCATTGGTTCGAGGCAAAAATTGAATTAATTCGTACTTGGGATGAATTTAAATTGCAATTCAAGCAAAGATTTGTGGTTACTGAAGGTTTAGCGGAGAGATGGGACCGCATGCGTACTAGAAAGCAGCAAAGAACGGAAAGTGTAATGTCATACTTTTATGATAAAGGTTGGGTTATGTAACAAACTGCAGCTACAGTTGACGGAGATTAAGGAGGAAGTTCTGAGCGGATTATATTCAAAATCGATCGCATCAAACCTTAGTGTAAAGCACTATTTTGAC